TGCAAGCTTCTTAAGTAAAGGTGACATTTGAGCATGACCTAGGAAGTACACGCTTTGGCTTTACTGAAATACTAGCCATTCTTTGATTAGTTGATTTGTTTGCATTTTATCTGAAGTATTGTGAGCAGTCCTGGCAAGCCAGTACACAAGGGGATCAGACTGTTGTAATTTATGGGGCTTTTATTGGCTGATTTTCTGGAAGTAGACTGCCAGGTCTTTCTTCTTACTCCATCTTCAACTGGAAACGCCACTGAAATCTGTCCAACATCATAGCAATATGCAAGTCTCCAATAGCAGATGGTTTGTGGTAACACTGACTGTGAACTGAACCCGGTCTCCCCATGAGAGGTGAGAATTCTATTAATGAACCACCAGGGCCTCTATCTGAGCAATCAGTTACTAAGATTCATGGAGAGGAAGTACACGGTAAATTAACTGGGGCTAAAGGTTAATGGAATTATTCTATTTGTAAAAACAGAAATCTAACAATAAAGGTAAAATTATTGTCACTGCCATTTGCAAAAGCAAAGCAAATACACATTAGTCCAATATTGAAAAAAGCCCAGAATACCAATCTTGAACAACTAACTGAACCTTTCCAACTATCACTTAGCTCACCTATAAATATGAATAAAAACAGTAACTACCTAGTGAACAAAACAGTAGGAGTTTTGATGTGAAACAGCAGGTCAATGCAAAACTCCAGGTCAATGCACTGGACTGCAAAATTGGTCTGAACAGCAAGATTGGCATTCAAGCTCACCAGTCGCTTCTCAGAAACCCTATACAGTGTCACTATGAGTTGGAACCAACTTGATGGCACTTAATAACAAGCAAAATAATACATGAAAACACTAACACTTCAAGAAAAGCACTTAGCACAGAAAGCAGTAAATAGTTAATGTTAAATAAACATTAGCTATTATTATTATTCCCAGATTATCATTTCTGAATGTCTTACTCTTGTGTAACATACGATTTAACATTAATTTTGGTAAATAACCCAAACCTACTGCTGTAGAGGTGATTCCAACTCACAGTGACCCTGTATAGGGTTTCTGAGGCTGGAAATCTTTAAGGGAGCAAAAAACCTCCCTCATCTGTTTTCCATGGTGTGGCTGATGGGTGAAAACTGCTGACAATGTGGTTAGTAGCCCAATGTTTATCCACAGTGCTTTCTGAAAGTATAGAGTTAGTTTCTAACTTGAGTTAGAATCTAAAGTACAAAAGAGGATAAATGGTGTTATAAGCATTATCAATAAAAAGGTTTTTATTAGCTGAAATAAAATGCTACTACTTGTTGTTATTGTTGTTGTTGTTGACTTAAGGTAAGCTCATGTGCAGAACAGAACTCTTCCATAGGGTTTTCAAGACTGAGCTCTTTCAGAAACACATCACAGGCCTGTCTTCTGAGATGTTTCTGGGTGAGTTTGAACTTAAAACCTTTTGGCTAGTAGTCAAGCGCTTACCCATTTATACTACCCAATGACCTACAGACAACATATGGCCATTAAAAAATAAGAGACACAGTATGATACAAGAATCATTACCTCCTGATGATATTGCAGAGGAGGAAATAATTATAAGTAACTCTGATGGAGAAAGAAAAATGCAGACGAGAGTGATGCACTGAAGCTAACTCACCAAAGTCTATTAGGCTCTTAAACAACATTTGTTGTCGTTAGGTACTGGTCAAGTCGATACTGACCCATAACGACCCTGTATAGGGTTTCCGAGGAGCAGCTGGTGAGCTTGAACCACCGACCTTGCAGTTCAAATGGCTTTGTAGTCTGGTGCATTAACCCACAGCGCCACACCAGGACTCCTTAAACAACATGTTGTTGTTGTTGTTAAGTGCTGTCGAGTCAGTTCCGACCCACACAGACCCTGAACAGGGTTTCCGAGACTATAAATCTTTACGGGGCAGAAAGTCTCATCTTTCTCCCGCAGAGCAGCTGGTAGTTTCGAACTGCTGACCTTGCAGCCCGATTCATAACCACTACGCTACCAGAGCTCCTTTTAAACAACACAGGAACTGACAAAAAAAAGTCACAACCAGAAGAACAATCTTAGGGAAACTGAACTATTAAAGATTTCAAGTTTTCTGCTTTGGAAATAGTAGCAGTTATAAAAGGGCAAGATTAGGAGACCAAGGTACACTAATGCAATAGATACACATACGTTGTAACAGTGAAAGTTATGTTTTGTCTGTTTTAGTATTTATGTATATTAGGTTATCACAGCGAGAAACTGGAAATAAACAGGAAATAGTTTCAATTTAAAAACTAAACCTCATTATGTTATAATTTAATAAAGTACTACCAGGATCCCCTGGGTGGTACAAAAGCTTGAGCGCTGGTAGTTTGAACTCATTGAGGGATGCCTCGGAAGATAAGCCAGAAGATTTGCTTCTGAAAGGTCACAACCTTGGACACTCTATGCAGCAGTTCAACTCTACACACACGGGTCACCGTGAGTTGGACTCGATTAAAGATAACTGACAGCAAGAAAAAGTAGTGCCAAATATACTTTGAGTTAAACAGACAAACAAACAGACAGAAAGCTAATACATGTATAGTAATATCAGGAATCATGATCTAGGGAAAATAAATTATAATGAGAATTATGGGTTCAAAGGCTGATTCTGAACCTTATTTTGCTTTTAATAACTGAGTTACATAACTATCTAAACTTTAGTTCTTCATCTGCAGATTATGAAAGTTATCATTGTATTGTACATTTTTATAACAACATGTAAGTTTCACAGAGGCAGATATCACAGCCAAAACCAAGAATTTTTGGTGTCAATAAACAGATTTTAGTTCCAGCTGTCCAATTATTTATCCAGGACAAATTTCTCAATCTGTCTTATCTTTGGTTTCCTTATCTTTAAAATGATGGGAAATAATACCCACCTCATGTGGTTGCTTGCCTGTATTAAATGGGACAATACAAGGGCTCTGTCAGTGCCCAGAACACAGAAAGCACTAAAAAATGATAGCTGTCAATACCTTCGTAAGTTTTTCAATCTGCTTGTTACGCACAGAACTATTATCAATTGCCAAAACTTCCACAGATTCTTCTTTTTCCAACTGGTACTTATTTACTCCAACAATTACTTCAGAACCTGTAAATTTACAAAAAGAAAATATGTCGATTCTAACAACAACTACAACATTCACAAATGACTGCCTTATAGCAATGCTCTGATTATCATGTATTTCCCACATAACATATTCTTAACTCTAGCAATTAAAGTTCAACATGGATAGCAAGTCCCAATCTGAGAAGGAATATGAGGGGAAAGGATAGGTATGTATCAGAATCTCCTTAAAGAAACTTTTAAAATTATGTTCTCAAGCTACACACTTTCCAGAGTTTCTTATAAACTCTCATGTTGTTGTTGAGTGCCATCGACTTGGTTCCAACCCATAGCGACCCTGGATAGGGTTTTCGGGGAGCTGCTGGTGAGCTTAAACCGCGCCAACCTTGCAGTTTAAACGGCTTTGCCGTCTGGCGCATTAACCCTTATAGTACAAAACAAAAATAATACAAGATGGCTTCAAAAAGTTCATGGAAAAATTCCATTACCTCTTCATTCCATTATCCATGAACTTTTTGAAGATCCCTCATAATAGTAACAGCTACCACCCAAGACTTGTTGTTGTTGTTAAGTGCTGTCAAGTAGGGTCCAACTCATAGCAACCCTATATAGGATTTCTGAGGAGCAGCTGGTGAGTTTGAACCGCTGACCTTGCAGTTCAAACCGAGTAAGACTTACAGAGAACTAAAACCAAAAGCTTTTCTAATATATTTTCTTTAATTCTTTGATGGTGGTGGTGGTTATGTGCTATGGAGTCGATTCTGACTCACAGGAACCCTGTATAGGGTTTCCAAGGCTGCAAATCTTACGGGAGCAGAGAGCCTCATCTTTCTCCCACAGAACCAATGGTAGTTTCGAACTGCTGACCTTGAGATTAGAACACTGACTCATAACCACTATTCTACCAGAGCTCCTAATTCTCTGATACCTAGTCTTTTTTATTTATTTTTTTGGGGGAGTGTATTTTATTTATTTCTATATTTAAAACATTTTCCCTTGTGTGGAATTTAGGATAAGCGCTGGACTGCTAACTGAAAGGTCAGTAGTTCAAATCCACCACCTGCTCCTTGGAAACCTTATAAAAGGTCACTATGACTCAAAATTGACTCAATGGCATTTAACAACAATAAGTTAACATGTGTCTTAACATGATCTTTCTTGCTTATTACTACTAGCTTATTACTCTATCTGGAGTCCTAGTATGGTGCTGTAGGATAAAGCAGTGGACTTCTAGGTTGGTTTGAATTACAAGGTCCGTAATTTAAACTCACCAGCCACTCCTTGGAAACCCTATACACTGTTGCTATGAGCCAGAGCTGACTCAACAGCACTTAACATCAATAATTACGCTAATGAAACCTGCTAGCCTGACCCCAAGTTGAAACCTGATTTCCTTCATAGCATTTATAATCCATATAATTTTATTGGTTTACTTTTTTATTTTCTATCCCCCTTACTAGAATGTATGATGTATGGATGTAGAGAACATGTCTGTCCTGCTCACAACTGTATGCCAAGGCCTAGCGCTGTGCCACAAACAGAGTAGGCTAAAAACATGGATGGACAGATTAAATAAACGAGTAACAACTCCAATGCAGAGCACAGTGAACATCAAGACTGCCACCTTCAAAATGTTGGTGATACCCACACAGATACGTTTGTATAATGAGCAGATAGACACACAAACTTTGTACAGATGCTTGTCTGTATATAGTTATGCATACAAAAATATAAACACATGTTATTTCTATAACAATGAGAATGATTTTTACCCATGATTGAGTTTCCATTATTTTTGTATTGTTAACAATATATGCCAGCTACAAACAGAAATGGATTTTTTTTTTTTTTAAATAGTGGATTTCACATGTAAACATCCCCATTTTGTCTTACCAGCATCTATTCTAGCTTGCCTTCGGGCGGCACATTCTTCAATTTTTAATTTCGGTATTCCCTCAGCTACAGCTTTGGCCATTCCACCCATTTCTTCAATTTCATTAATGAGCTAATCACAAAAATAGATTAATAAAACTAGAAGGCAACATGAAAAAATTTTAATAAACTATACACATTTATTATGAGTACTACATAATTACTGGTATTGATTAAATGATACACTATGTTATTAAGAAAAAATGTTTCTTAAAAAAATACATCGAGAGCATCGATTAGGAAATGTATGTTTGAAGCAGTTTGAAAAGACAACAGAAAAACTAGTTAAGATATTCTGGAAAACACAAAACCTCTCACTCAATTTTGGGAGCAAGTTTAAGATAACATCAATTTTGTAATCCCTATTTCAATTTTATAGTTACAGAAAATGCAGTTTGATTTAAGCAGTGGAGTAGTGATGTAGCTCCATTTTTAATAAAATCAGGAAACATCTAAACCTTCCATCAGTCTCATACATAAAGAAAGAAAATGGACGGTAGAATGCTACATGGAAGAAAACAAAAGGTAGCAGAAAGAAACAATGGCAAACTTGAAATAATTTACATCACACTATGAAGGTGAGATGTATACAACTGATGGACTTAGAATAGTTTGATATTAAAATATACAGAAAAAAACAAACCAAAAAAGGTATACTCCTCTGTGGTTATCTCCAGGAAGCAGAATAAAAGCAAGTGGGAGTCAAAGGATGCTTTTATTTTTGTTATAATACTAGTTGCCTTTTTAAATAAAATACTTTAATACAAATAAAAATATATGACTAAGTTTTAGTATAGAATAATGCAAAACCAGATCTAAAATCTCCTTTTCCTTTCAAGCATTTTATATTCCCATATATTTTGAAAGCAAAGTTTTAAGCAGGAGAAACTGACCTTCAAGGCAGCATCATAAACATCGTTTGTGAGAGACTCCATCATATATGAACCTCCCCATGGATCAGCCACTTTAGGAATCCCAGATTCTTCTTGAATGATGATTTGGGTGTTCCGAGCGATTCGGGCACTTTTCACAGTTGGCAAACCCAAGGCTTCATCAAAAGAATTTGTGTGCAAAGATTGAGTCCCTCCAAACACTGCTGCCATTGCTTCTATTGCAGTACGAATAATGTTATTGTAAGGATCCTAGAACATTCAGTAAACCACCAAAACTAAAATGAGGAAACAGTCCATATGTAGTTCAATTTAAAAGACAGTATGATTAAGCAGTGATTTTTGCATACATTCTATGTGAATATCCACATGAAGCTTATCAAACTGATACATATTAATGAACAAATCAGAGTTAGAAGAGGCCAAGCAGCTAGTCTGTGCTTCAGCACTAAAATACTGTTTTTTTGTTTATTGGTATCTCAAATGTTGGTTCTGCTCTAAATAATGTCTTAAAGAGAATATTATGCTCTAAATAATGTTTTAAAGAGAACATTATAAATGAATACTTTCTCTACTTAAGATTTTGAGATTGTTCATCTCAAAATGTATTATCTACAATTTTATATTCCTTGAAGTATCTATCACATTGTCGTTGTCAAGTGCCATTGAATTAGTGCTGACTCATAGCAGCCCCCTATAGGGCTTCTGAGGAGCGGCTGATAAGTTTGAACCATCAACCTTGCATTTCAAAATGATCTTGCAGTCCAGAATTATTCCACAGTGCCGTACCAGGACTCCCATCTACCACATGGATATGCACAAAAGAAGCACTCAAGAAAAGATTAATAAAATAGAAAAACAATGATTAATGAGATAGAAAATCTGAGTTCCAATCCATTTTATTACCATTTACGATTTGGGTAAGTTGTTTGACTTCTTGAAATTCTGTTTCCTTAGTTGTAAACAAGGAGATAAGAAAAAAAAAAAGGTCGTTCAAACCCTGAAAATCTGTATTTTTCCTTTATAACGACCTGAGGTTCTATTTCATACTGGGTATGTAATTAATTGTTCACTTTTAAATGCATACAATTAATGTTACTTTTAAATTATATAAGTTTTATAATGTGTTAAAACATATTAATACGTAAAGAAAATATATGTGAGACTCATCACCACCTAGTATATTTAATGGAATAAATTTAATTTAAATAAATTACCTATGTGATCATAGCTTTTAAATGATCTATTTTCATGCTTAAACACCTCACTATATTTTATATATATATGTATAAATACAGGGTTGCTATGAGTCGGAACCGACTCCATGGCATATAACAACATAAATAAATAAATAAAATGACATCCTAGTGTGGTGCTATAGGATAGCACTAGACTGTTAATGCAAGGTGGATGATTCAAACCCATTAGTAATTCCTCGAAAACCCTATACAGGGTCACTGTGAGTTAAAACTGACTCTATGGTACATTAACAACATATATATAACATAGCTATGTGCTTTATATGCAGATATATTGTTGTTGTTAAGTACCGTGGAATCAGTTCCAACTCAGTGACCCTGCACAGGGTTTCCGAGGTTGTAAATCTTTACAGGAGCAGAAAGCCTCATCTTTCTCCTGCAGAATGGCTGGTAGTTTCAAACTGCTGTCCTTGAGGTTAGCAGTCCAATTCGTAACCACTACGCTACCAGAGCTCCTTTAGGTATAAGTATATATATATATATTTATGTAATTTATATGTTGTTGTTAGGTACCGTTGGTTCAGTTTGGACTTATAGAAACCCTGCATAGGGTTTTTGAGGAGCAGCTAGTAGATTCAAATCATCTAAGTTGAAATCAACTGAATGACACTTAACAAGCACATAAATAACCCACAAAGATTTAAAGCTTCAGAAAACCTACACAGAGTTCTATGAGGCAGAACTGATGAGATAACATTTAACAACATGAATATATACATATATATAATATAACTATGTATTTTATGTATGTTGTTGATAAGTACCATCGAGTCGCCTTTGACTCATAGTGACCTTGTATAAGGTTTCCAAGGCTATAAATCTTTATGGGAGCAGAAAGTCTCATCTTTTTCCCCAAGGAGTATCCTTGTGGTTTGCAGTCCAGTGCTTATCCTAAAGAACCAGTCACCACACTCCCTATTTATACATATACCTTTCTTCTGCCTCGTTCCACTCATAGCAACCCTATATGAAGTTTCTAAGGCTTTTCAAATCTTTGTGGGAGCAGACAGAAATCTTCATCTTTCTCCCACAAAGTAGCTGCTGGTAGGTTCAAACCATGGACCTTGGGGTTCATAGTCCAGTGTTATCATTAGGAGCCACAAAACTCAAATTATTTAGGGTTAATATTAATTAGGAGTTCTGGTGTGGCACTGTGGGTTAATGCATCAGACTTCAAAGCCGTCTGAACTGCAAGGTCGGCAGTTCAAGCTCATCAGCTGCTCCTTGGAAACCCTATTAGTGTCGCTATGGGTCGGAACAGACTTGACGGCACTTAACAACAAATATTAATTAAACTATGGTTTGTACTTCTTCCTTATTACCACATACTTTTTAGGTTTTTAATTGGAAGTTTCATGTTAAGAATTCTAACTTCAAATTATTTTGGGTGATAGTAATTAAACTATGATTTTTACTTCTTCATTACAACATATATTTTGTTTTTTAAAACAAAGTCAAAATTTAAGTTATATTTTATACTGTTAACCACTAGAGGGAGCTTGTTTCAACTATGAACATAAGTGAATGCATAAAGGAGCCAACTTAAGTATACTCATAGAAAAGAAACACTCATTGTTGCACATTAAAATCTACTTATTCTAGGATTTCTATTTATAACTTAAAAGTAAAACCCAGTCTGAATCTATGATAATGCCCAGAGTGGCATTCCAGTGTTAATTTGTTATAATTAAATCAATTTGTATTTATTTAAATCAATATTTGTATTTATTTAAATCAATAAACTTATGTCATGGTTGTTATAAGTGCCATAAAGTTAGTCTGATTCGTACTGACCCTGTATAGGGTTTCCAAGGGGCATTGATGACTTTGTAGTTTGAAGTCCAGTGCTGATCCTAAAGCACCATACCAGGAGTCCAATTTGTATAGTAAGATTATGTTATTGTTGTCATAAGTGCCCTCAAGTTGGTTCTGACCCATAGCAAGCCTGTATAGGGTTTCTGAGGAGTGGCTGGTGCATCTGAACCACAGACTTTGTGGTTCAAACTGACCTTTCAGTCAAGTGCTTATCCTACAATGCCATATAGTTATGGTAAATTTTCAAAGTACTTATATTCTAAGTACTCAGTCCATTAATTATTTAAAAGACCACATAGAATACTCTATGGAATACTAACACAAATATCAAAATAGTATATTACAACCTAAAACACATCCATGTGACCTTCGGCAAGCAAATAATTATTCTGAACTAGGTCTTGTTTAGATAATGAGGGCATTAATTCACACACTGATTAAATATAAACTAGTTGTGAAATTCATAATGTCAGTGATTATTAATACAAGGGGCTTCCAAAAGTTCATGAAAAAAGATGAAATGATAATGGACTTTTTCCACGAACTTTCTGAACCCCTCTTGAAAAGACATATTAAGACAGATCCTTTTCTCATGAATCACTTTAAAAGTTTTATTAATTTTAGCTAATTTTGTCTATAATTGAAAAGAAATATTTCAAAACTAAACATAATATTTGTTGTAACATATGCAGCCTGGGTTTCTGGATACATACATTACATTTATTTGTCAAAGAGATATTACACAGTATTCATTTATCTCTCTTCCTTCCCAACAGAGCCTGTTTTGTTTGGCATGGCAATATTCCCAGCCCAAAGTAGAGAACTCACTTTCCGACTCTCCACTGTAGCTATGGAATAGAAACTCTGAATGAAATAGAAACTCTGAATAACTTTTTACTTCCTGCTTTGAATAGGAAGCTGCTGGCTGGAGCCATGACACTCATCATGCAGTCACTGAGAAAGGCAGAGCAGGGGTATCAACAGCAACACCAAAGCCAGAACCAACTTAACTCCAAATATCTAAAGAAAATGTGATAATCAGCTCTTATTTGTTAAACCTACTTTGTGTCAGGATTCCCCTTACTCAAAATCAAACACATATAGATACTATCTAAAAAAATCTATTAACACAACAAAGGGATGCACATTGGCTCCATACAATATGCCCTAGACTGTGAACCCTCCAGCTGCTCCATAGAAGAAAGATGAGGCTTTCTGCTCCTGCAAAGATATATAGCTTCAGAACCTATACAGGATCACTGAGTTGGAATCAACTCTATAGCACTTAACAATAATAATAACAAACACAATAAAATAAGAGGCAAAGTTGGTTCTGTGGCAGAATTCTTATCTTCCATGCAGGAGACCTGAGTTCAATTCTAAGTCAATGCACCTCAAGTACAGCTATTGCTCGTGTCAGTGGAAGTTTGTATGTTGCTGAACAGGTTTCAGCAGAGCTTTCAGACTAACATAGACTAGCAAAAGGCTGGTGGTCTAATTCTAAAAATCAGCCAATGGAAACCCTATGGATCATAAAAGCCCAATTCCATTGTGCATGGGGTTGCCAGAGTAGGAGTCAACTTAAAGGCAGTTTAATAACAGCACAGTATAAGCTTATGAAATGTCAACTAAAGAAAAATGATTTTATTTGTTTACTTGATGCAATTTAAAAAAAAAAAATGTTTACAGATGAAAACTATGTAGCAAAATAAAGCAACATTTTACATGAAAAAAATACAAAATTATGCATGAAAAATGACACTTATATTTAGAGAAAAAATTAGAGATCAGAAAAAAGTAAAATGATTGATATGACAGTAATTGGGTTCTAGAAATCATTTTCTTTGTACATGTTGACACCAGTAAAATCTGCTTAAATTTAAAAAGTTTAAATTTACATTTCAATGAAGAGTACTATGATTTTCAAATATTAGTAAATAGGTTCTTAAATTTATTTTTGACTGTGCAAGCAGCTTACAAGATATGACTATTAAATGCTATACTTTTCCGTTAAACACACCTGCTCAGTAAGGGACCATCCTGATGTCTGGCAATGTGCTCTTAGAAGAAGAGATTTTGAGTTTTTAGGCTGAAACATTTTCTCTATTAAATGAGCCCAGAGTCTTCTCCCAGCTCTCATTTTTGCTATCTCCATATAAAAGTTCATGCCAATTCCCCAGAAGAAAGACAACCTGAAATAGTTATGTAAAACCAGAATGATTTTTTTGAAAATACAAAATCAGAAATTAACCTAGCTATATCACACTATAAAAATCAAAGTACAGATTTTAATTTCAAACAACTTAATATGAATTAAAATCAGCACATAGGAACTTAAATAACTTTAAATCTAACATATGAAGGTACAGTTTTATGCATGCAGGAGACATAGTTATAGCTAGTTGTTTCAAACTGCTTGTCTTTAGGAAAGAAGCTCCTTTTCTATCCATAATGAAAGAGTTCAGTTATTTAAAAAATATCCAACACAACATCTTTAACTATATCCGGTGGTGCTGTGGGCTAGGTGTGGGGCTGTAACCCAAAGGTCGGTGATTAACTCTCCAAGCTGTTCTAAGGCCGGAAGATTTACAGTCTCACACACCCTACAGAGTGCCACTATGAGTTGGAATCAACTTGATGAGCAGTAAGTTTGGGGTTCTTTTTTGGTTAATATGTAAGGCAGAAGCCACCCATAAAGGGAATGGTGGTGGTGGTGGTTTTGTGCTATGGAATCGATTCTGACTCACAGAAACCTTGTACAGGCTTTCCGAGGTTGTGAGTCTTTATGGGAACAAAAAGCCTCATCTTTTCCCATGGAACTGCTGGTAGTTTTGAAGTGCTGACCTTGAGGTTAACAGACCAATTCGTAAAACCACTATGATACCAGCTCCCATAAAGGAAATAAACCCCACTAATTTACTTTGGAAAGCAAGAAATACTTCTAAAGAACACCAGCATAAATATTAATCCAATTTATTTCTGGCCCTGCTGCTCCTTTTAATCCTTCATCCTGGACCTGGTTTACACATTTAGATAATTTGCCTGCCGCAAGGTCGGCAGTTCAAGCTCACCGGCTGCTCCTTGGAAACCCAATACAGGGTCGTTATGGGTCGGAATCAACTTGATGGCACTTAACAACAACAACATAAACACATTAAGTTTACTGTTACTTTTAAGCAAATTAATAAAAATATCAATAGATATAATCAGTCCATATAATGCTGAGATAATATCTGACATCAATTTACTTACCTCGGTGCGAATTCATCAATTGTCAGGCCAGCTTGGAGACCCGTTCTGCAGTACTCCAATCCATCTGCAATAGTATAGGCCAGTTCCAGAATGGCATCAGCCCCTGCTTCCTGCATATGGTAGCCACTAATTGAAATGGAATTGAATTTTGGCATGTGCTAATTAAAAAGATAAAGAAAAGAATAAAGCAATAAATGAGTTATGTTGAAAGGTCTATTAAATGCATTTTCCAAAATCAAACACTTTAAATGTTCAACTCATATACACTAAGTATTACTTTGCCATGCTCATTAAAATATTTAATAATTACTTTGCTACATTTAATTCACCCTCTACTATCAGGATTCTGCAGGAGAAAGCTGAAGCCTTCTATTCCTGCAAACATTTACAGCCTTGGATTTACAGGGTCACTGAGTCAGAACCAACTAAATAGCACTTAATAACAACAACATCAGGACTCTACCTGACCCAGTTTTCTAATGGAAAAGAATGTGTACTAACTAACCATGCTTTAAGGCCAAAGTTTAAACTTTGAAATTATCTGGCTGAGGTTAAGAATGTAAACTTTTGCCTTGAGAAACAAATGCCAACATCTGTGATTCCAAATCAATGATTCTGACCACCATACCATGAGCTCATTAATCTGGGGGTAAATCTGCTGAAGATTTACCTATTGACTAGTTGTTAATTTTCTTACTTGAATGAAGGTAAGATACATTAATAAGTACAAAGTGGAGAAAAATGGTTAAAACTGAGATAAAAGGGGGAAAACATACATGGCTTAAAAATCAAAGTATGAAATTTTATTTGCTTTAGTATTTGATGCTAAGCATATCCCAGACAAACTCTTTCTACCACACTCACAAAGAAAAGAGAATTTCCATTATTCTAAAATGTCACATTAAGTAGGGCACATATCGTAACATCCTACAGACACAGAAAGTATTAACCTTCGCAAGAGTTAGCCAAACAGAAAAGAATAAAAATGACATCGGAGGAACTCAATGTAGTGATTACGAACATGGACCCTGGAGGTAGAGCGGCTGGACTCAAATTCTGGCTGTGTTACTAAACTAGTTATATACCTGTAGGTCATTTACTCAGTTTTGCTATTTCATGGTTTCCTAAACCAGAAAGACAAGAGTGGCACCTTCATCATGTGGTGGTATTTGGATTAAATGAGATTCATCTAAACCACTTAGCATAATGCCTGTACCCAGTAAGTACTAAAAAATATGTTAGTTTAACTGTACAGTATAGATTATCTGTGTATTAAATTTTAAATATTCTCTTTATGTGTACGAATAAGCTCTTAGAAAGTGTTCTATCACAAAACAATAAGGGGACTAAATCACATGGAATTTGGTGACAACTGGAGTATGTTTGGAATTAAAAATAAGAAGTAAAGAAACAGTTGCTTCTACACTCATAGAGGAATTTACTAACACAAACGTTTACAATTTATAAAGTACTTCTACAGAGTAGTATTTGATCTGTATCTGGAATTGGCATTTTCATCACTTACAGATGCCCTGGTGATGCAGGGGTTAAAGTGCTCAGCTGTGAACCAAAGAGCCAGTGGTTTGACCCTCCAGTCACTCCATGGGAGAAAGATGTGACAATCAGCTTTCGTGAAGATTTATAGCCTGGGAAACTATAGGCCAGTTCTGTTCTAGCCTACAGTCTCTGTTAAGTAAGAACTGATATGGAAGTAGCATAATTTTGTAGATATGAAAAAGCAATTTTGAAACTCTGGATGATATTAAGATCTTTCATTAGGTGAAACATCCCAAGTCCACAAACGCCCAGACTGCCACTCTCTACCCCAACAACCATTCCCTACTCACTCCTGTAACACCTACACCATAAATTCAGGACGGCAATGTGCAATAGGACATCTCTACTCTTCTCCTATGAGTCCTAGTGTGGTGCTACAGGATAAGCACTGGACTACTAACTGAAAGGCTGGCAGTTCATACCGACCAGCTACGTCTTGGAAACTATCTAAGGCCGCTATGAGTCTAAATAGACTCAACAGCACTTAACAACAACAGCTCTTCTCCTACTACTGTTTGTTCACTGAAATATAAGCGGATATTTTGTGTTTCTTCTGGAAATTCACCTTAAATCAGAAAAGCTGGACTGGTCATACACACACACATACAAACACCACCTACATCCTTCCTTAATTATGAAGTGACACATGAACCACAGTGAAGAAGCAAGACAAAAGAACTCTTGCCCCCCAATGGCTGTGAGATACCATACAAGCAAACTCTTGTCTACCTTCTGACTTCTTTTATATGAAAGAGAAATGACTCCATTTTGTTTGTTGTTGTTAACTGCCTCGAGTTGATTACAAATATTTTGCGTATGTTGAAGATGTTATGACTTTGGATTATTTAGTAATGGCATGTTAACATGGTTGTTGTTGTCGTTGTTCAGTACTGTCAAGTTGGTTCCAACTCATAGTGACCCTGTATAGGGTTTCCAAGAAGCAGCTGGTGGGTTTGAACCACCTATCTTGTGGTCAGCAGTCCAGTGCTTAATCCTACAGCACACATCAGAATCCCCCTATTTAGTTTACGCTACTCCTATTTGTTTTTGTTTGTTTCCACTTGTTGTTGTTGTTGTTGTTAAGTGTCATCGAGTCGGTTCCGACCCATAGCGACCCTGTACAGGGTTTCCGAGGGTGTAAATCCTTACGGGAGTAGAAAGCCTCATCTTTCTCCCGCGGAGCGGCTGGTAGTTTCGAACCGCTGACCTTAAGGTTCGCAGCCCAATTCGTAACCACTACGCTTAGATGCTGCAAAATTATCTTGTTTATATGGCTTAAAATACTAAAAGGTGATAGAAATACTAATGGTCTGTTAAGAAATTTCAGACCTACTAATCAAAAAAAAGATTGTGTTCTGGTGTGGCGCGGTGGGCTAATGCATCAGATTGCAAAGTCGTCTGAACTGCAAGGTCAGTGGTTCAAGCTCACCAGTTGCTCCTTGGAAACCCTATACTGGGTTGCTATGGGTCAGAATTGACTTGATGGCAATTCACAACAATAACCACAACCAAAAGATGGGTGGTTCAAACCCACTAGCCATTCTCAGGAAACCTTATACAGGGTGAGTATGAGTTGGAACTGACTTGATGGCATTTAACTAAAGAGATAACAATTCATTTGGGGAGATGGAGAAAATCTATGAAAATAGCTAACATCATTGCAAAGTACAAATGATAAATATCAAATGAGGAATACAGGCAATACTTTAGATAATTCTGACAGCAGTAAGAGGTTGAAAGAGATTAACAAAAAGCAACAATGGTCTGATGGAGGAGGAGAGATCGGCCATGTACCATGAAATAATGGTTTAATGTTAAACTAGGTAAAGAGAAGCAGAGCACCATGAGCAACAAGTGTGAATGACGGCAGAATACACATAAATTGCTCAGATGAAAAGGAGGAGGATCTATGTTTCTGCACAGAGGGACTCGAGTCCTAGTGTGTTGCTTTGGGGTAAGTACTGGACAGCTAACGGCGAGATCAACAGTTTAAACCCACCAGCCACTCCTTAGCGACCCTGTACAGGGTTGCTATGAGTTGAAGCCAACTTGACAGCCTTAACAACAGCAACACAGAGGGACTACTACTATAGGAACACTCTTAGCTTATTTCCTAACCACTCAGACTGGGGAAGATGAACCTGACATAGGGATCCCGTGTGGGTAAGTACTAACCAATATCCTTTACTCTAGCTTTCAGCAGAAATGAGGCTGATCTTTTGACCTCCATCAAGCTGACACCAGTATCTACCTCAGAACTGAATCTGAATTCTCGATGGAAATAAATACCAAAACCAAATCCACAGGTTTCTGACTCTTAACAACTGACAGAATAGAGTAAACTGCGTCATAGGGTTTCTAAGACTGTAACGCTTTACAGCTTCAGGACTAGGGTGTGCCTGACCCAGGCCATGGTGTTTTCAGTAGCATAATATGGATGTGAAAGCTGGACAGTGAATAAGGAAGATCATAGAAGAATTGATGCCTTTGAGTTATGGTGTTGGAGGAGAATACTAAAAGTGCCATGGACTGCCAAAAGAACCAATAGATCTGTTTTGGAAGAAGTGCAGCCAGAGTGCTCCTTGGAGGCCAGGATGGCTAAGCTTCATCTCTCACACTTTGGACATATTGTCTGGAGGAAACAGTCACTGGAGAAGGATATCATGCTGGGTAAGATGGAGGGTCAGAGAAAAAGAGGAAGACCCCTAACGAGATGGATTGGCCAGGTGGCATCATCGATGGACTCAAGTGTGGCAGTGGTAGTGAGGTTGGCCCAGGATCGGACATTATTTAGTTCTGCTGTGCATGGGTTCGCTATGAGTCGGTTCCGACTCGATGGCACCTGACAACAACAACAACGCTTTACAGGAGCAGATGGCCTCATCTTACTCCTGCAGAGCAGCTGGTGGTTTAAACCATCAACCTTGTAGTTAGCAACCTAATGCTTAACTCATGTGCCACCAGGGCTCCTAGACAGAAATAAAGAAGTATAAATTGTGAACCCTCCCCCAGAGAATATACATTTAAATACAGAGAAAAATAAAGTTTATTGTCTCTTGCCTAGATTCCAATATGTAATGAGAGTACATAAAATTGTTGTTGCTGTTAAGAGCCGTCAACACGGTTCTGACTCATAACCACCCTCTATAGGGTTTCCAAGAAGTGACTGGTGAATTTGAATTGCTGACCTTGTGGTTCAAAGCAACCGTGCAGTTCAACACTTTATCCCACTGCACCACACCAGGAACATAAAATTAGTACCTCAAAATTTAAAATCCAACAACAAAAAAGGAAAAAAACACATATTTTCTATAAGCACTATTATTTAGATTCAGTTACCAACTTCAAATTGTGTTATGAAAGTCTATAAAATTTACTACATTCAAATAACTATAATAGAACTTATCATAAACACAAAGGATACCTTTGCTGTATACTGGAAGATATCAGCAATAATTTTCATAGATGGTTCTGGAGGAAAAATATAAGTATTTCTGACCATGAACTCTTTCAGTATGTCATTTTGGATTGTACCAGTAAGTTTCTCTTTAGGTACACCTTGCTCTTCTCCAGTTACTATAAAAGTTGCAAGAACTGGAATAACTGCTCCATTCATAGTCATAGAAACAGACATTTTTTCTAAAGGAATTCCATCAAAAAGAATTTTGGTATCTTCTACAGTGTCAATAGCAACTCCGGCCATTCCAACATCACCACGAACTCGGGGATTGTCTGAATCATAGCCTCGATGAGTTGCCAGATCAAAGGCAACTGATAATCCCTGTTGACCAGCTAAACACATAAAGAAAAACAGAACAGGATTGAAGAATGGAAACAAAATACAGTGCTAAAAGTATTAATTCCTATCATCATAGTAAATTTTTATAACATATTTTCATACTCATGCATTAGTTAAAAATATTAAACTAAAGATGCCTTATTTTCTAAGACATGTGCATAAATACAAAAATTGAGTTCCAAACCATACTATAAAAAAGGGAGCAATAAAACACCTCACTATCTTGTGCAGTTTAACAGTTTACGATAGAGTTATTTCTAAAATTCACAGAGCAGGCTGTAATACAAAACCCAAACCAAATCCACTGACATGGAGTTGATTCTGATTCATAGCTACCCTGCACAGGGTTTCTGAGGCTGTATATCTTCATGGGAACACAAAGCCTCATCTTTCTCCTGCACTGCTGTGGTTAAGTACTGTCGAGTCAATTCTGACTCATAGTGACCCTGTACATGGTTTCCAAGGATTGACTAATATGTTTGAACCACCAACCTTGCAATTAGCAGTTCAGTGCTTATCCTACAGCACCACACCAGGACTCTGCTGTTTATATATAGGAAACATTAATTACGAAGGCCATACAAGATTTTTTAAACACAAAAATATAAAACTCAAGTCAGTTCTGACTCACAGCAACAGAACTACTCCATACGGTTTCCAAGGCTGAGATCTTTACAGAAGCTGCCTGTCACAACTTTCTCCCAATTAACATACTGCTGTTGTTGTTAAGTGCCTTCAAGTCGGTTCCAACTCACATCAATCTTGCTTAGGGTTTCCAAGAAGCAGCTGGTGGGTTTGAACTGCTTATCCTGTGGTTTGCTGTCCACTGCTGATACTACAATACCACACCAGGAATCCCAGTACATAATTATCAATACATTAAATACACTATGCAAAGTTCGATGACCTCTGTTAGTATTCAAAATACGATTTCATGATTGATCAGAAAGAACAGAAGTTAACATAATTTTCTGAAAATACCACATTGCACTGAATAAATTTACACTACTTTATCAGTTATTACTTACTTCGTACAGCACTTCAACCATTTTTCCTTCCATTTCCTATCCTGACAATTTTAATTAAGAGTTTTTCAAAGGCAAAACCAATTTTTCTTTTTCTTCACCTCACTTAATTTTATACAATATGCACATAATTGTTGATTACTTTCAAAAACTTATTTGGGCTCACCCATCTTTTTGAACATAGAAGCTGCAAAACTCTACTTTCTTCAGAGTATACTTTTAACTGATATATTTTAACAATAATATTTAACTATCATAACATAAAGCAAATATTATAGTCATAGGAATTAACCAACCTCCCCTAAGAAAAATCCAAGAGTAGACGGTGTATGTTTGACAATAAGTATTATGTCTCATATTAAAATCTCACCTTTAATATTATCCTTGTAGAACTTATTGCTTTCTTCCACAGTACTAAAACCAGCATACTGGCGGATGGTCCAGGGCCTAAAAGTATACATGGTGGGGTATGGTCCACGTGTGAATGGCTTCATTCCTGGAAGCTCCTCAGGGATGTCCTTAGTATCCCTGCTGGAATACAAGGGTTTGATGGATATCCCTTCTGGGGTGTGCCACATTAGGTCTTCTGGGTTTTTGCCTTTTAGTTGCTTTTTAGCCAGAGCAGCCCATTCTGGGTGGAGGGGCTGTTGCTGATGCAGAAGTCGCTGCCATATGAGCCTGGGGCCTGGTAATTCTTTTAACTGCTTTAAGTGATGGGGCGAAAGCAAAACAAGTTGAGTCTTAGCCCTCAACATGATGGAGCATGGACACGACCCAACAGGAACAAGAAGTGATCTAGAAAAAGAAACATAGTGTACACTTAAAGGAAGGAAGAAAAATGAAGTCTACTGGTTAGAAGGGGAAAGAGAAAAAGAGAACATGTGAGTCTGAGTTCTTTTTTTCTCTTTTTCTGTCTCCTGCATGTAATATTTTACAAACCTGGCCCTTCCTCTCCATATCTGCTATCATTATTCTAGTTTCAGACTTGGTCAGAGCCTCTTAGCTGATCTTACTCATCATGCTCTTAGACTCCTCAAATCCATTCCTCCACACCTAAATCTGTTCATGTCACATGGTTCTCGTCTCAAAAATGTTTCAAAGGCTTTGCAATATGTAGAGGATATAGCATTGTGGTGGTTGTTAAGTGCTATTGAGTTGGTTCTGACTCACAGTGGCCCTATATAGGGTTTCCAAGGAGCAACTAGTGGATTTGATCTGCAACCTTGTGGCTCACAGTCCAGGGCTGATCCTACAGCGCCACAGTGGGAATCCAATTATATTATTATTATTATTATTACAGAGCTTTTTATTGAGTACCTACTTTATATCAGGCACCATACTGGGTGCTGAACGAACAGCAAACATCAAAACATAGGCATTTAAGGCATCCGTGTCCTGGCATCAGCTTCTCTCTCAGACTCATCTCATCTGTCCACTACAAATCTTCTGTTCTAGAAACACTAAATTACCTTTATTGCTGTTGTTGTTAAGTGCTATTGAGTCGATTGCGACTCAAAGCAACCCTGTAAAGGATTTCCAAGGAGTGGCTGGTGAGTTTGAACCATTAACCTTGAAGTTCAAACTGACCATGTGGTCCAATGGATTATCCTGCAGCACTACACCAAGGAATTAACTACAATGTTGTTGCTAAGCTCTGTTGAATTGGTTCCAACCCACAGCGGCCCCACGTAGGGTTTCCAAGGAACAACTGTTGAGCTTGAACCACTGACCCTGTGGTTCAAACCAACCTTGCAGTCCAGTGCATTAACCCGCAGCACCACACAAATGTCAGCTCTGTGAATTTACTCTTAAGAGTCCTGGTGTGGCACTACTGGATAAGCACAGGACTGCTAAACACAAAGCCGGTAGTTTAAACCCATCAGATGCTCCTAGGAAACTATATACAGGGCTGCTATGAGTCAGAATAGACTTGATGGCACTTAATAACAACAAATTATGTTTGCTTAAAATGTTATTTGGCTAATCCAGCTCAGGTATCTTCTCTAATATGAAGGACTGTGCGCCAGGAACCACTAAAGGGCTTCACAACTTCAATCTTCAATACATCCTGAAAAGGCAGATAGTATTACTATCATTCCCATTTTACAAATGAGGAAGAGACATCCAGAATTTAAGCTTAGGCAGCCTGATTCTAAAACCTGTAAAGCTAACTAAAATTTTGATAGTCTCTCCCTGAACCAGCCTGGGGAAATGGCCTCTTCGGAATCCTCCACAGTACTGTTTCTCTGTTTGTACTTATCATTTCCTACACTATAATATACTACAACAACCTGTTTGCTTTAATTTTTTATGATATATTTTCATATTTTCTATAAAATAAAAATGGTATTTATTCATTTTCAGTGCAAAGCAAATGGCGGGTGGAAATAAAACTGTTATAACTACTTTGTATAACAGATTGGCAGGCACTATGGATGAATTCTCAAAACTGTTAATGTTCAGCAACATCACTCCTGGGAAAGTGACTATAAAAATACATAAAATAGATGTTCCTTATAATTTTATTTGTAACATAAAAATTTAGAAACACCATATAATATCTAATGAGTAAGTGAATTACAGCATACACAAATGTTAGAATGTTATATAATTATTAAGAGTTTATTAGAAAAAGACAAAGCTAATCGTTTTGATTGCTTAGGATGTAAAACAATCTTCAATGTTTAAAGTTACACTCATTACTTTCGAGCTGATTCTAACTCATAGTGATGCTACAGGTCAGCGTAGAACTACCCATGAGAGTTTCCAAGGCTGTCAATCTTTTTGGAAGCAGACTCACATTTTTCTTCTGCAGAATCGCTGGTGGATTCAAACTGCCAAACTCTTGGTTAGCAGCTGAGCACTAAACCACTGTGCCACCACAGTTCCTTTGCTTAAAGTTAGAAAAGGGATCATTTATGATGTCTAGTACTGGAAGGAAGGAGCGCTGGCAACACTGCGCTAAGCACTGGGCTGCTAACTGCAAGGTTCAAACTTACCAACCACTCCTCAAAAGAAAGATGAGGCTGTCTGCTGCAGTAAAGATTTACAGTCTTGGAAACCACAAAGAGCAGTTCTGAATAAGGAAGACCGTAGAAGAATTGATGCCTTTGAGTTATGGTGTTGGAGGAGAAGACTGAAAGTGCCATGGCCTGCCAAAATAACCAACAGATTTGTGTTGGAAGAAGTGCAGCTAGAGTGCTCCCTGGAGGCCAAGATGGCCAACCTTCGTCTCTCATACTTCGGGCATATTTTCAGGAGGGACCAATCGCTGGAGAAGGATATCATGTTTGGTAAGGTAGAGGGTCAGAGAAAAAGAGGAAGAACCCCAACGAGATGGATTAGCCATGTGGCAGCATTGATGGGCTCAAGCGTGGCAACAGTAGTGAGGTTGGCCCAGGATCAGGCAGTATTTCATTCTGTTGTGCATAAGGTCACTATGAGTCGGTACTGACTCGATGGTACCTAACAACAACAACAACTGTGTCCTATTGGAATCCTGTTATGCTACGCTGGACTACAAGGTCAGTTTGAACATCAAGGATGGCAAGTCAAAGCCACCAGCTGATCCTGGGAAACCCTATAAAGGGTCGCTATGTATGAGTCAGAACCAACTGGAAGGCACTTAACAACAACAACAATTGTGTCCTATGGGGTCACTATGAGTCAGAATCAACTCGATGGCAGTGGTTTGTTGTTTGTTTGTTTTTTATACTAGAAGGGAGAGCATCTGAAGTGGTGATCTTGAGCTGAACACTGATTATACAAATGTATTCAGTTTGTGGAAATTCATGAAACTGTAAAAGTTGGAAACTTTATGACTAATATTTTTTAAAGGAGAAAGATCAAAAGTGTTAAGTGAAAGAATCAGAATACAAATTGTAATGCAGTATGTTCAACTAGATAAAAAAAGTCATATGACCAAGTATAAAAGTAAGTACAACAAAAAACAACTCCCATTATTTTTTAACTCTGTTATGATATCTATTTTACTTAATCCATGAGTTCCTTGTCCTTCATCTTCTTGTACGCAATATGCTACATTTACTAGCTTAAAAGGTGAAGGAGAAAAATAAGTTACAATTGAACTATCAGGGTAGTAATGATATAAAAGGTAATTTGAAAACTGCCTGAGATTAAATTGTAGACATTAATTATCACACCCATTTCACACAAACTACTTGTGAGATTCTCCTAAACCCTAAACCTACACAAAAAATAGGAAGGATTTCTGAATAACAATGGCATCCTAGAAAAGGACATTTTTAAATAGGAATTCTGAATCTTCTTCGAAGCTTTAACAAGAGACACTTCCAAATATTTAAAGAAGCAGCAGGCAAAACAAATACGCTATTGATGGTGACATGGTATTGATGGTTAGGATGTTAAAGACTAATAATGAAACCCACCCCTCCATAAACATCTCCAAGAGAAAATACCTACAGTTTTTTTTTAACCAAATTATTTGTCAGGCTTTGACTGTTTACATGTAGTTTCAAAGAAACACTTCAAGAAAGGCCAGTGGCTTCTAATGTTGAACCAATGTGGGTTATGGACATCAGGGTAGGGCATGCAAATTAAAATTTTATATTAGCATAAATAAACTAATTAAACTTAATGTTAGTATAAATAAATCGTTAAGCACAAGAATACACAGGGAGAAAATAATCAAGTAGTTTGAAGCTTTATACACACACACAGAAGCTCCAGAGGTTCAACAGCTTCTAAGAAGTTCTAGAATCAAAGTGACAAAAAGTCAGAAATTTCCACTTTTATGTTAATTTAGCTGTCTTTCCTATTCCACCTAGTTCCCTCACCCCCACCTACAAACAGAAAGTCACCTTCATCCAGAAACTTCTTTTAAAGCTATGGCAATGCCTGAGCTGTGTAAACGGGTTAAGAAGCCTGGCTGCTAACCAAGAAGTTGGAGGTTAAGTCTACCCAGAGGCGTCTCCAAAAAAAGACTCGTCGTTTACTTCCGAAAAACCAGCCACTGCAAACCCTATGGTACACAGATCTCCTACAGGCATGGGGACTCAATTCTGGCGACTGTGTTGGCAGCTGAGTTTGGTTAACATCTATAGCAGCTTAGAGAGCTGCCAGTGAAGTCTGGGAACTCCTCTGGAATCGCACAAGAAGTAACCCCTGCGAAGAGGAATGCTTCGGGGTGCCTGGGTGGCCAGGGAAAATGATGACATTGTCCCTGAGATGGTAAAAGTACGTCTTTCCAGCTGCACGTCCGAACTCGGCGGGGACCTAGACCAGGATGATAGGCAGTCGAAGCCAGGATCTAAACTTGAGAAGATAGAGGAGAGCCCGATCAGTCACACTAATAAGGTCACGGAAGAGGTTAGGGGTAGGGAACAAATAAAGGACTAGAGTAGGAAGAAGAGGAGAACAGGGGAATAAAGTGATACGAAAGGCTGACGTGCTCCCGAGGTGCACAGTCCTACTCACAGGCAGGGCTGTCTCCAACCTGTACGGAATCTACACCGTGGTAAGGGTAGCTGAATTTAGGAGTTCCCGGTCCCGAAGGTCTCGTAAACCCCACAGCTGGAACTCCTCCGCGCAAGCGCACACTCTGAAGGCGTAGGCCGACACGCCCTCTCCCCAGCCAATCTAGTTTCCGTCTCGCGGGTGCGCCCAAGAGAAGAGGCTAGCTGCCCCGCCTCCGGCTACAAGTGTTTCCGCTTTTGCTACTTCCACTTCCGGGTCTGCTGGCTTTTGGTTTTTGAGCGGGAATTTCTCCGAGCGCTGCAGTCCTGGGGATTCAGGAGGAGTCGTTCGTAAGTAGCGAAAACGCTTAACCGCTGGGTTTAGGTTGGGGTATGGGTTACGTGGAGTCCTGGTGTGGCGCTGCGGGTTAATGCGTTGGACTGCAAAGTCCGGTTGAACCGCAAGGTTGGCTGTTAAAGCTCACTGGCTGCTCCTCGGAAACCCTATGGTGGTGGTGGTTATGTGCCGTGGAGTCGGTCCCGACTCATAGCGACCTTGTACAGGGTTTCCGAGACTATAAATGTTTACGGGAGCAGAAAGCCTTATCGTTCTCCCGCGGAACAGCTGGTAGTTTCGAACTGCTGACCTTGCGGTTCGCAGCCCGATTCGTAATCACTACGCTACCAGAGCTCCTTATACAGCGTCGCTATTGGTCGGAACCGACTCGACGGCACTTTACAACAACAACAACCAAGGATCTATGGCCACTTCGTTTGTGTGGTTTGCATTTGGAGAGTGTGAGGTGATCTTCCAAGGGGAAGGAAGGAAGATGAAAGCGGATTGAGCTGTTTGGTTCGTGGTGCGGGGCATGGTTTCCCCACTCTTCCAATCAATTTCCTCTCCCTTAATCTCTCTGTAGACCGTATTGGACAAAATGCTGCGCTGGATAAGTGGCTTTGATTCTTGACGTTACAGCGTTGCTTTTGAGAATTGCCACTTATCTAGGTAAAGTGTGTGTGTTTTCTGCCAGACTGTTGCCTACCTGTCTCCTATAGGGTAAAGGAGACAGTCTTTATTTTCTACTAGATAAATTTTGTAGTCTTTATCACCACCATTGTCTTAAATAATCCATACACTTTTGGAGCTTCGCTGAACTTTTCTTGTTCCTGAATATGTCAAGCCGCCCTTCCTTTGGGCTTGATGTTTGAGTAGCTCAGTCCCTTTAATAAGTAGTTCAAAAGGAACCCTGGTGATGTAGTGCTTAAGTAGAATACTATGTGGGCAGTTCGAACCATGAGCAGTCCCTAGGCAGACAGATGTAGCAGTCAGCTTCTGTAAAACATTTACAGCCTTGGAAACCCTATGAGGTAGTTCCACCTGGCTGTTCTTTACCTTCACCATGAGTCAGAATCAATTCTATAGCAGTAGCTCAAAGTATAATTCAAATACTAGGTTTTGCTTGAAAACTTTATCCGTCTTCCAATAAACCAATCCATATAAAAAACAGTCATTGCCCTCATCTTTCTTCCCACTACAACTATGCTATGGATTCCTGTGGGTGAAAACTGTCGTCCTTTTTCATATGTAGCAGTTACCCCAATCATAATCAAAATTATGGCTTTTATCTGTTGAGGTCATTGTTGTGGTTAAGTGCCAAGTGCCCTCATTCTGAATCATAGTGACCATGATGAGTTTGAACCATGGACCTTGGAGTTCAAATCAACCTTGTGTTGTGGTCCAATGCTTTATCTTACAGCGCAACACCAGTTTGTGTTAAGTGCTGTCCAGTCAGTTCTGACTCATAGTGACTCTGTATAGGGTTTCCGAGGAGCTGCTGGTGAGCTTGAACCTCTGACCTTGCAGTCTAGCACGTTATCCTATACTCCATTAAATCATTTTGGAGTCCTGGTGTGGCGCTGTGGGTTAATGTGCCAGACTGCAAAGCTGTTTGAACTGCAAGGTCGGCGGTTCAAGCTCACCAGCAGCCAGGTCCTTCACCATCTTCACAATTGTTATATTTGAGTCCACTGTTGCTGCCACTGTGTAAATCCATTTCATTGGGGATCTTTCTTCTCTTTGACCATGGCTATACATACAGACATACTAGGGTAACTCAGAAAGTATTGCTGCTGGCTTCCAGTTCATACATGCATGAATTTATTTCAAACAAAATGTGTTTAAACATGTCTCTGTGATATGTGGATGGCTGCAGACAAGTTCTCAGTAAAGTACTTGTCTTAGTCTCACTGGGATGTCTTTAAAGCTGGGCCAGTTAAACTCAAGACAGAGAAATCAGCTTAGAAGATTTTTTAGGGCTCCTATGATGGACCAGTCACTGGAGAAGGATATCATGTTTGGTAAGGTGGAGGGCTAGAGAAAAAGAGGAAGACACTCAACAAGATGGATTGGCCAAGTGGCAGCATCGATGGACTCAAGTGTGACAACCGTAGTGAGGTTGGCCCAGGATCGGGCAGGGTTTTGTTCTGCTGTGCATAAGGCCACTATGGGTAGGTACCAACTTGATGGCACCTAAGAACAACAACAACACTTAACAACAATAAGGGATAATCTATATAGCTTTTCTCAAAGGACAGTATAGGCATAGGGGCTTATTCTGAAGTTTTTTTTAAGAAATGAAAACTACATTGATGAGAAAATGGTAAGGAAAGTTGCACTGAGAAATTTTTTTCCCCATCAGGACAATTCCTTTTAAAATTTGAGGGAAAATATTTATTCAGAGCACCTTGACTGTATTATTCTTTTGAGGGTAGCAAAGGCTGTCCTATGAGAATTGTGTTGGGAAACCTTACCCCATCTACCATACAGCCTTGATCCTGACCTGCTTCAAACTTCTTTTGTTCCCCAAACTCAAAGAACATGTAAAAGGAACATGATTTTGAGGACCTCAAGGATACCCAAACTGCCATTTTGCTGTGATATAAATGGAAGAGTGTAGAATTCTTTGGGGGAAACACTACCTTTAGAAGCACTATCAATGGAGGGGAGGGTATGTTGAAAATGTAGCAATACCTTTAAACTTACCCTAGTGTACAGAAATGGTTTATATAAACAGTGATATTTTAAAAACCACTTTATTGCTGTAGAGTTGGTTTCAGCTCCTAGCCAACATACAGGATAGAGTAAATGACTCCATAGAGTTTCCTGGACTGTAAATCTTTGTGGACAGACTGCTACATGTTTCTCCCATGCAGCAGCTGGTGGGTTCAAACTGACAACTTTTGGGTTAGCAACCGACTACTTAACTACTGTGCCACTGTGGCTTCCTTTTAAAACAATATTATCCGTAATGTTTCATTATTTTCTTTTTTAAAGTGAGTTTAGAATAAGATAGTCTTTTAAATATTATGCAAAGCCTGAACATTTTTTTCTGTCTTTTTAATCTCTACAGATTTTCAAAGTACTGTATGATTGTTCTATTTACAGCAGGATGCCTGACCAAACAAATGCCTCTAAGAAAAAGTCTCAACAACTGAAAAGAAACCGAAAAAGAAAAATTTATGAGGAAGACGAGTTGTCAGAGAACGAGGTAATAAAAATATCATATTCTCCATTCAGAACTTATTGATCAGAAATAATCTGTTATAAATACAGGAAAATACGTAGAGTCCTGGTATGGTTCTATGGGATAATGCATTGAACTGCAGGGTTGGTTTAAACCATAAGGTTGGCAGATCAAACTCACCAGCCACTATGAGTCAGACTGACTCAAAGCCTCTTGACAATAACAAAAACAATAAGTAGAAAGGTCAGAAAGCTTAGAAAATAAAAGATATTTTATTTGTACAAAAAAATTATAGTAATTCCTATCATTCTATTATAGTAACACAATGTGAAAAGTTCTCAGATAATTATCATTGCTTGCTTCATTTATTTAAAAATAAGAATTGACTGTAGAATTCTTTGAAAGGAGTGGACCATGGGACATTGCTAAGATATTAAATGGGAAAACTAAATATGAAGTGTATAAATTCTTAGAGTATTCTAAGACACAAGAATCTTATCAGTTTGTGGAGTAGATTTTTATTAACAAAGAGAAAGAAAACTTTGGGAGGAATTAGTTTCTTACTATCATAATTTTGCCCCTCTTATAAATGGATTGGAATCAGAACACTTTCTTTGTTTCACACTGCTTTTTAGGCAATGCTTATATTTTATAGATAAAGCATGTAAACTACTTTACAGGCAAAGTAAATCACTTGATTAAAATCATTCTTTGATGCTGTGTAGACTTCTATTATACGTTATCATTCTTGTCCAAACAGCGTTAAAGGATTCTTTGCTGTGATAACCACACACCTTTCTTTTATAGAAGTATATCCTTTCCTATCTTACTGAAGGGATATGACTTTTCTTACACATATGACAAATCTATTGGAAAAGCATTCTTTTTATTTGATGTTTAATTCTGTTTTCCTCTAGGTTAGAAATATAGTAAGAAAACAACAACCAGAGCATCTTTCCTCTGAAGGTATTAATTTTCTGTATCTTTTAACCTGTGATCTTTCTGAAGCTATCTATAAATCATGAAAATAGTCTTAACATCTTGTTTATGGGTTCTGCAAAAGATAATAAACAGCCATAGTCACCTTTTTGCAAGAGTGAATAGTAATGGTTACTCAGTTATTTTGGTGAGCACATTGTTCTCACCACATTTGACAAAACACCCTGGAGGCTTGTATGCCACTAAGTTTATAGGAACCAGGGAAAATGAAAGAACTCTGTAGTCTAGATTATTAATTGATTTATGGTAACAAGGCACATCTGCTGATTAAGATAAATATACTTTATGTTATGCCACCAATGTGCAGATTAGCTTGGAGCCACTATCTAAATTGGTTTAGAGTTAATTAGTTTAAAATAGTTATGTTTATGTATGCATCATTTCTTCAAGGAAGGATTCCTTCTCTCTTCCCACCCAAGACCAGGTTAATATACTTTATAGTTTGGTGGTTTTATACTTTTATGCCCTGGTTTTATACTTTATAGTGTGTTGGTAGTAGTGGTTATGTGCTGTGGAGTCAATTCTGACTCATAGTGACATTGTATAGGGTTTCCAAGGCTATAAATCATTACAGGAGCAGCAAGCATCCTATTTCCCATGCGAAGTGGCTGGTAGAGTCAAACTGCTGACCTTGGGGTTATCTGCCCGACTTGTAACCACTATGCTGCCATGGCTCCTCTCTAGTGTACACTACCTTATTTTTTTGGTAATACTTTGCATACCTATAATTATAATTTGTTTAATCTCTCTTCTGCCCCAAACTAATTATCACTTGAAACTTACTGAATATATCTTGTTTACCTCAGTATCCCTTATAAGCAGAATAGTACCAGCTGTTTAATTGTTGTTGTTGTTAAGTGCTGTTGAGTCAGTTCCAACCTATAGTGGCTCTTTACAGGATTTCCGAGGAGTGACTGGTGAGTTTGAACCACTGACTTGTGGTTCAAACTGACTTTGCAGTCCAGTGCTTAGTAGACGCTAAAAATCTATTTGTGAATTAATCAATTGTTATATAACTTTTTTTTTTTTTTTAATGTTTTATTGTGAATTATATGGTAGTTTACATGGGAGAACTTTAGTTTTACATTCATTCCATCGTATATCATCTCACTGCCATGGTTCCAGTCCCCTCCATGCATCATCAACCACCCAAAGGGTATATCCCAGGAACCCGCCCCCTACACTTCCCCCTCCTCCCCTCAGTTTTCGGCCCACAGTCCCTTTCCTTCTCTGAGTCCAAAATCCCCAGTCACTTCATCACTCCACGTCATCATCTCTCATATAACTTTTTATAGAAATCTTTTTTTAATGTTTTCAATGAAACGTTTGAAGAATTAACATCATTTCTGAGAACCAAAACTTTTATGTTGATTTCTAATAGTTGTAGCCTGGTTTTTTACTTAAAATTATTTGTTTGGGGTTTCTATATGTACAATCAGTGAAAAAAATATTTTTGTTAAGTGCTGTCGAGTTAGTTCTGACTCATAGCAACCCTATATAGGGTTTCTGAGGAGCAGCTAGTGGGTTTGAACCATCGACCAATAAACAGTGTTGTTGTTGTTGTTAGGTACTGTTGAGTTGGTACCAATTCCTAACAACCCCTGTGCACAACAGAAAGAAACACTGCCCCGTCCTGAGCTAACCTTACAATTGTTGCCATGCTTGAGCCTATTGATGCTGCCACTTTGCCAATCCATCTCGCTGGGGGTCTTCCTGTTTTTCTCTGACCCTCCACCTTACCAAACATGATATCCCTCTCCAGTGACTAGTCCCTCCTGACAGTATGTCCTAAATAAGAGAGACGTTTGGCCATCCTGGCCTCCAAGGAGCACTCTGGCCAAATTAATGCCTAGTGTGTCATGGCTGTGCAAAAGCAAGAATATTAAAATGAAGTTTGAACAGCTTGTGCTGTGGGATAAAGTACTGGACCAAAGGGTCAGTTTGAATCACAATGTCGGTGGTTCAAACTCACCAGCTGCTATTTGGGAAACCCTATACAGGGTCACTATGAGTGGGAACTGACTCTACAGCATATAACCGCCACCGCCACCACCGCCACATATAACAGCAATGTTTTGGTTCTCAATATACCCTAAGCTTCTTTACATAAATTTATACTTAAATCACTTGTTAAATAAAAACATGCAAACTTGTGTACTGATCATAGTCTTTTCTGTCACCAGTGAGAGGGAAAACAAAAGATACTAATCTAAAACAGATCAGGATAGCGCCCAACAAGAGAAAAACCTGGAAACCCCTTTCAAAGACAAATAGAGAACAGCTGCAAACTATGATGGAGTCAATAATAATGTAAGTATAAACTTTTTCCACTTCACTCTTTGGTTTCTGTTTATATGTTCCATATAGATATTGTCATTCTAAATGCTAGTTAGTAGCTGGTATAAGTTGATAGAATGTTTTACTATTTCCGGAGAATATATATGTCTTTTGATGACATTGTTGTTGTTATGTACCATGGAGTCGGTTCCGACTCATAGCAACCCTGTACAGGGTGTCCGAGGCTGTAAATCTTTACGGGAGCAGAAAGCCTCATCTTTCTCTTGCAGAACAGCTGGTAATTTCCAACTGCTGACCCTGAGATTCACAGCCCGATTGGTAACCACTATGCTACCAGAGCTCCTTTGTGATGACATGCTTTCAGGAAAAGTGCCTTCATTAATTTTTAAAACATTTGCCCATCAGTGAAATAAGAATTAAATCAAGACCTGAGATTCTGCCATCTATAAAGTTTCAGCTTGCCCTGTCAGTAAGCGTGCTTTAGGAAGACACCGAGTTTAAATTGGTATTTTATATGGCAATTTCTATGCTGTAAGGAATGCAAAGAAAGTAAGACAGAATTCTGCTAAAGGAGGTGAAATCCATCCAAAGGATCAAGCACATAAATGAATTAACTATGATACGACATAGTACAAGTCTTTATTTAAATTATATTAATATAATAGGAAACATCGTTGATTCTGCCTGATTATTGAAGAGGGGAGCACTTGAGAGAAATCTGAGAGAAACATACACAGATCATATTTTTGTTTCAAACTAATATTTTTCCTACCTTTCTTTTCTAGAACAATTTTGAGTCACACTATGGAAGAAAATGAAAAAATTCAGTACCATCTTAACTTCCTGAAAAAAAGGTAATAACAGATAAAATTTCATTATGGATCAAGCATAATTTTAAAAAAATGTAACCGTTTTAAGTTGCCCAAACAGACATTTGTGGAGTATAAAAGCTTTTTGTTACTATTTTTAAGAAACTGAGCACTTTGTGCGTATGCATTCTACCATTTACTGCTGCTGCCTGTTTCTGGAAATAAGTTAATAACCCTCAGAATTTGTAAGAAAAAAATCTGAAATTTCCAAATACTTATTTCCAGAATTCTCTCTTCTATATCAAGACTTGAAAAATGATTTTGTCAACTTCATCTTGTTTCTTCAGTGTGGTTTTTGAAGAACTTGAAGTTAACCATTGTTGTCTTTGTGTGGTGTTAATGGTTCTGTGGTTTCCCTTGCCTTCATACTTTGTTAACGTTATTTGCACAAGCAGCACATATCATTTTCCAAGAGATTATTATTGTTCTTCATCTTGTGGGAAATCACAAAGTAGCTTTTCAAGTGTTCTTTGAAGTCCCACTATGGCCTTTGATTTTCAGGGTTTAATTTTCTCAGGTACCTCACACAGCTTGTTTATTTTCATTAAAAGAATGTTCTGTATATCAGGGTCAGGCTATATTTGTAGGGTTGTTTTTAGGGACCATGGTGTGGCGCTGTAGGATAAGCACTAGCTGCTAACCTCAAGGTTGGCGATTCAAGCCACTCCTAAGAAACTCCATGCAGGGTCTCCATGTGTTGGAACTGACTCACAGGCTCTTAACAACAATAGCATCAGGATCTCCCAAATGGATTTTTAGCATAGGATAGCCTATGTATTAATCTCATCTCTGCTTCTCTCTGTGTACTGACTTCATTCATTTAGACTAATTGTCATCACTAGATTTGAACTGTAGTCTTAGCTTTGTATTTACATATTATCAACTCTTGGGAAGAAAGAGAAAAGATAATTCTTACTGCTTCAGTTAAAAAAATTCTAGAGGATGGACTCTGATTGTCTCAGCTTAGCGGAAGTGCCTGTATTTGTACTGATAAAACTGTAAAGTGGATCCTATGCATACCCCTGTGATCACACAGATAGGCTGGTAGAGTTGCATGGCAGATAAAACTATTAGCCATGTTATTTCTCAAGGAATATACTTTGAGAAAGTCTTGTCTTACAGAAACATTGTTCTAAGTGCTGATTAGGTATTGTTGTTACAGTATGAGTCCTGGCGTGGTGCTGTAGTATAAGCACTCGACCTTGTATAAATAAGGTCGGTTTGAACAGCAGTGTGTGTGCTTCAAACGCACCAGTTGCTCTTTGAAACCCTGTACAGAGTCACTAAGAGTTGGAACTGACTTGAAGGTGCTTAACAACATTCAGTTGCATATACATTTTGAGTTTAAAAAGATTATAAGATTCTTGGAAATCTAGGCATATAGAGCATTTGTAGTAGTAGGTGTTTAACAGAATCAACTTAACAAAATATTTAGCAGAAACGGTTTATAAGCAGAATCTTTATTTAAAAAAAAAAAAAGATTCATTCAGACCACAGGCTTTATTGTCTGTTTAAATACCAATAACCTAATCATAGTCTTGACAATTAAAGTACATTTAATAGCTTCATGAAAATTGTGATTTATGGGGTTTATGCTACCTATTTTATTTAATTATAAAGATTAAGATATTGAACAGGATCTCAGAAAGATGTCTTAAATTCTACAGCTATTAGTGCTTGAAAATCTTACGTAGAACTTTTTAGCACTCAAAGATGCCGGTATTCTGTAGAAAGAACCAAATTTAGTTTCTCTCCTTCAATTTCTTCCTCACAGAACCTGAAGAATCAAAGCTGTGAATTTTATTTTGCTCTCTGTTAAATTGAGGTAGAAATGCGTCTGTTATTACTGATGATCTAATCAACTCATATTTGAAGGAGGATTTTTACATTTTAATTTGAATAGTGTTTTAGAACAAAGCACTTCAATTTAATTTTAGGGTTTATTTGCCTTAAAACCCTATAGGACTCAATTTTCTATGAAATGACTATGTTATAGTAGTTGATGTAGAAGTTACCTTTTATTGGTTATACTCTCTAAAACAAATGAGATTTAGTGTTCAGAGTAATAGAAAGGAAACCTGAGATTTCTAAACTAGTTTTCCATCTTTTACCCAGTAATTCACAATAAAGGATAGACTTAGGTGGTGTAATACGTTCAACGGTTAGAAGACACAAATTTGATTTTTAGAAAAGGTTTAATTAAGTTAGGAACCCTGGTGGTGCATTGACAAATGCAGCTGTTCTGCTGACCTAAAAGGTCAGTAAAACCCTCACCTGCTCTGAGGAAGAAAGATGTGGCAGTCTGCTTCCGTAAACATTTACAGCCTAGGAAACCCTCTGGGTCACTTCCACTCTAGGGTCACCTTGGTTTGATAATAGTAGGTTTTTGTTTTCCAATAGTCAAGTGTGTACAAGAGAAAATTTTCTTATAATGGAGTAGTCTAAATGTCCGATGAGTTGAGATAAATCTTAATAAATTCAAAGGTTAAATGATGAGTTGTCAACCTTTTTCTGAGATTTTCTGCCAGAAATTACCACTATTAGAAAAATGTTAACAACATTGTTTCCAAACCAAGTATTCTTAGGATTGCTACTCAATTCATGTTTTTAATCTATCCTTAAGATTGCTGCAATTGTGTGAAACCCTGAAAGTCCCTCCCAGAAATTTGAAAAATATAACTGATGTGTCAAGTCTACTGAAAATGGAAAAAGAACAGCACAGAGCTAATGAAGAAGGACTGGCGTTATTGCAAGTAAGTTTAGATAGAGTTCATACTAAGAATGCTAGGGGAGAAAGGAAAAGATCAATATTTCTGATATTCTTCCAGTAACAAACACTAGATCTTGGACCAGATATTTGTACTATATCATTGATTAAGTAGCAGTCTTCTTCGTGTTTTTAGGTTTTTTTCACTAGACATCATGTATCTTAACTGAATTAATTCAGTATTTTTGATTATCAAATTATGGGAACTTATTGGTACATGGAGTCCTAGTGTGGCATTGTGGGTTAATGCACCAGACTGCAAAGCCATTTGAACTGCAAGGTCAGCAGTTCAAGCTCACCAGCTGCTCTTTGGAAACCCTATACAGGGTCACTATGGGTCGGAATCGACTGGACAGCACTTTACAACAACAGTAATTACTACATATTATCAAATTTGAAAACGTAAGTTTTTTTAACCTGCCTGTGATACTATACTGGCTAGCGAGTACAGTCATCATTTTTGTTGTTAGTATGAGGGAGATTCAAAAAAGTTCATAAAACAGTTCTGTTGTCTTTAAATTCCATTTTCCCATGAACTTTTTGAATCCCCTTTGTATTATAGCTAACATATTGAGAATTTGCTATGTCCCTGGCATAATTCTAAGCACTGACAGTTATACTTCCTAATCTTTATAACGTCTTATAATTATGTACTATAGTTTTCTCATTTTACAGATTTAAGAGACATGTTGTTATTCCTAGCTTTGTAACATTAGGCAAACTGCTTAGTTGTGGATCAGACGCAGTCACACTTCAGTAAATGATTTATAGTCATCATACTATATCTGTTGAAGATAATGATAACTAATACTAGGAGTTGTGACTAACTTCAAGCTTTTAATTAATTAAATGGTGCTGGTGGTTGTTAAAGTGCCGTCGAGTTGTTCCAACCCATAGCGACCCTGTATTGAGTTTTTGAGGAGCAGCTGGTGAGCTTGAACCTCCGACCTTGCAGTTCAAACGGCTTTGCAGTCTAGCGCATTGATCCACAGCACCGTGGTAGTAGTTTTTTGCTGACAAGTCAGTTTCAACTCAATAGTGACTCTGCATATAGGGTTTCTAAGGCTGTAAATCTTTATAGAAGCTGAAAAGCCTTATCTTTCTACTGAAGAGCAATTCGTGGATTTCAACTGCTGACCTTGATGTTAGCAGCCCAATACATAACCATTATGCCAGAATGGTTGCACAACTCAAAGAATGCAATCAATGCCACTGAATTATACATGCAGAAATTGTTGAGTTGGTGTATGTTCTGTTGTGTGTATTCTTGAAAACAAAAACAAACTGCATATATAAAAGAAAAGTTCCCTTTAAATTAGTATGTATGTAAACTGAAAAGCAATCTATGGAGTACAAAAAAAAAAATGACCTTGAATAATTTGGCCTTACTCCTTCATTCTTAGGAGATAACTCTAAGTCCCTGGAATGTTCTGAGTAAGTAAAGTGCCTTTGTTAGTTAGACCTCTGAGGACACCTGATGCCTTGTCCTGATGGGTTCCGGCTGGCTGGACCAGAAGGACCACAGTCATTACCAACTCGAAGACACCAACAAATCTCATCGTAAAGCTAGCACCATTTGATTTCAAAATAAGAGTTTAAAAAAAGGGGGAGATGAATGAAAGAAAAGGATCAAAGTAACATTCCTACAGATGACAAACAAATACCAAAAACATGCTTAGAGAGTAGGTGAATGTTAATCTAGTTGATCATCTGAAAAGACAATAAATTCAGAATAAGGAGGGGAAAAAAAAGCAGATGAATGATAGAACATATATTTTTTTTCAATCATACATCAGTATTATAAATACTAAAAAATGAAATTACAGATTCCAGAAAAGAAAAATTATTTCAGATATGTAGACTGAATTAGAAGGAAAACTAATACCAATAAACAACAGGTAATGCTTAACAATAAATGAGAACAAATTAAGTATCAAAAAAAAAAAAAATAAATAAGGCTTAATTTAAAGAAGTTGAGGAAAATGATAAGGTAAAGAAGATACGGGTGTTAGGAATACCCAAATCAGATGGCATGAAGCAAAGTTTTAAAATTGTAGTAACGATATTTTAGCCCTTATTTTGTTAGCTTTTTAAATTATTATTATTTTCATGCTGTTTTTCATTCCATTCAATGGAGGATTGGGATGGTGTTCCTCAGAAAGGTCTTGTCAAATCCTCACCTCAAAACTTAATGAATGTGACCTTGTATGGAAAAAAAAAATGTCTTTGCAGGCTTTTTGTTATGTTTTGTTTTTTGGCAATCATATTTAAATTCATTTGTAACTTTTCTACTCATACCTCTTAGACAAAACTAGCCCACAGATTGTTTGCTAATACCTCCAAGTAAATTTAAAATTTATCACTAGAAACCATTTCTTAATGAAGACTATTGTTCTGCCAACAACAATTTTGGGTTCAGTATTTACAGAATGATATATAGTCAGCAGTATTGCTAAGACATGATTCTTTCTAGGGCTAGATTAAAAAGCTGTACATTTCTTATATTTATGTAGTTTTTGTTTTTAAGAATTTACACAGTAGAACAAACAACAACTCAGTAATTTCTGCATGTACAGTTCAGCGACACTGATTGCATTCTTTGAGTTGTGCAGCCATTCTCTCCCTCTTTGTCAGAGTCCCTTCCCCATTAACAAACTCACTGCCACTAACTTTCTTATCCAATCTCTCTAGTTGCTATTGTCAAATATTAAAAGAAAACAAAGCTCAAGGCAGATATTCTTTATTAGTTAAGCTGTAGTTTGATTTTAAGAAGGCTTCAGGAGATATTTTTGTTTAAAGATTGAAGATCGTCTTAGAACAATAGTTTCAGGGGTTCATCCCACTTTAGTTACTTCAGAAATTTTGGATTCCATGAGGTTTAAAAATTCTGTTTTGCATTTCCCCCATCTGATCAGGATTCCGTTACAGAATCTTTGATTAAATCTTCAGTGGACTACAAAGTCAGTGTGGACTGAAAAGTTGGCTGTTCTAGCTCACCAGCTGCTTCTTGGAAGGCCTATATATACAGAGTCACTATAGGTCGGAACTGACTGCATGACACTTAACAACAACAGTGGTAGCTGGGCATGGAAGGCAGTTGTTCATAGAGACAGTCATACCTTCCATTTCTTCTTCCCATTTCAGACTCTGCCTCTTCCTCTGTTGCTCAAAGCAAATCAAGAACAATTGTTATATTCTGAATGGCCACTTAATACCCTTTTGAAGCCTGAAGGCTAGTAATTAGCTCTATACTTGGCCTACAGTCTTCATATCTCTGGTTACCCCATGTTAATGTCATTTCCTTATTTTCTGTGTGTCAGCCCCTAAGAATGATATATTTCTGAAATGGGAAAACTGTCGCTTCTATTATTGCTCCCTTAGTGTCAGACATTCCTTTTAATAAATAAAAATAGGAGGCACTCATATGCTTCTAAATAAATTTTTTAAATTTTAGTTAGAATTTCTCTACAACACATGGTTATGTACTGCTTAAGAAAGGCTACTTGCTGTATTTGCTGTTATTAGTCTTTGAGTCCCAACAGATTCATACTTGTATGTTCTAGGATTGCTGATACTCAGTTTTGTTAAGTTTGTGAGGAAATGTCCACGTATGGGGTATATCTCCTTGTTCCTGTGAAATTGAGTTTCCATTGGTTAATTGACTTTATAGAAAATCTTTTTTGTAATGAAAACAAAAATAAATTCACTGGTTTCTTTTAGAAGTGTTTTTATGTATAAATTGTTTAAAAATAAGCAAATACATTAGTAGTTATCTTAGGAATTGTTGTCGTTAAATGCCATCTAGTCAGCTCTAACTCATAGCAACTCTGTATAGGGTTTCCGAGGCTTTAGTTCTTTGCAGGAGCAGAAAGTCTCATCTTTCTCCTGTAGAGCAGCTGGTGGGCTCAAACTGCTGACTGTGTGCAGTGCTTATCTTATGGAACCACCACACTCCCAATCTCAGGGATTGTTGTTGTTAAGTGTTGTTAAGTTGTTATTGTTAAGTGTCGAGTTGGTTCTGATCCTGTATAGAGTTTCCGAGTCTTTAAATCTTTGTAGAAGCAGAAAGCCTCATCTTTCTACCGCAGAGCAGCTAGCATGCTTGAACTGCCAACCTTATGGTTTGCAGTCTAGTGCTTATCATATGAAGCCACTACACTCCAATCTTAAGGATTGTTGTTAAGTGCCATCAAGTTGGTTTGATTTGTGATCCTCTATAGGGTTTCCAAGGAGCAGCTGGTGGGCTTGAACTGCCAACCTTGTAGTTTGTGGTCCAGTGCTGAGCCAATAATGCCACCCCAAGACTGTTTAATTTAAAACACAGATTTTTTTTCTTTTTCTGTCTCAGGAAGAAGTAGATAAAATGGTAGAGACTACAGAGTCAGTAACCAGGAATATTCAGAGCCTACAGCACAAAATTCAAATTATCACAACTGAACTGGAAGAAGAAGAGGAGAAAGCAAAAGAGGTCATTCTTAGAAATTGTATTGCTACTATCTAGATGTAATTATTAATGCTCTACTTCTACTAAGACAACTTTGGGAATAATAAGGTATGAGAAATCAGCCTTTTAAAATAATTTGTGATTTCTTTTTCTACTTTAGATACTTCATATAGATCATCATGGGATACTTTGTCTTCCAGAACTTCCTCAGGAGAGTCTCAAAGCACCTATACTTCAGGTAAGAACACATTAACCATACTGACTATATCACCAGTTAAGGACTGCATACAGGAGGGGGCTTTAAATGTTCGTAAAAAAATTTCATTATCTTTTTACTTCATTTTTCCTTGAACTTTGTGAAGTTCCTTTTTATATGAAAACATACTTGAAGTAAACAATACGACAAATTACTTTTCTCATTTACCAATATAGTTGGAACATTTTTCTTAATAGTTCATGCAGATCTGTGTCATTCTTGTAGCTAACTATGTAACATTTCATTATATGTATATGGTTGGTTATGTGCCGTGGAGTTGGTTCCGACTTATAGCGACCCTGTACAGGGTTTCCGAGGCTATAAATCTTTATGGGAGCAGAAAGCTTCATCTTTCTCCTGCAGAACAGCCGGTAGTTTCGAACTGCTGCGATTCGCAGCCCGATTCGTAACCACTACGTTACCAGAGCTCCTTCATAATATAATTTGTAAATTAGTTATGTAAATAATTTTACTATTACAGAAAATACTGGGAGGTACACCCTTACACATTTGTATAGACATAACTGTAGGGTGGAGTCCTGGTGTGACGCTGTAGGACAAGCATTGGACTGCTAACTGTAAAGTCAATTCAAACCCTCCAACCATTCCTTTGGAAACCCTTTCAGGGTCACTGTGAATTGGGATCAACTCAACAGCACATAAGAACAGCAACTGTAGGATACATTTCTGGAAGTAAATTTGTTTATGATTATAATTGTGTATAATAACACTCTGTCTTACTTGTATTCAACTGTCCGTTGATAATGTTTATTTTAAAGGCCCTGCAATGGATCAGATCATATAAATGTTTACAGTGATGAAAAGTCTTCATGTTTTCTCAGAAAGTAAATTTAGATGTTTCTCTCTATACTTCACCAGTTGTTAGAGCAGGCACAATGAACACATGGAAAATAGAGGAAAATAGATTTGAAAGAAGACTGGCCATGAGCTAAAGATTGTTGAAATTGAAGAGTACAGGAGATTTATTATATTCTCTTTAAATCATATATGCTTAACATTTCCCATAATAAAAAGTTAAAAAGAAATTAAACTATTTTCCCCACAGGAAGAAATTTTGGCACTAGTTCCAAATAAGAATGCTCTTCTAAAGGACTTGGAAACTCTTCATAAATCAACCCAGATGAAGAACATGTTAACCTTTATCGAAGAAACCTATAACAAACTAGATGCCTCTTGAAGTTTGTATATGAGATTTTTGTTTTATATTAATTTAGTATTTATGAGTATGTAAAACTGTTAACTGTACAGTGATTTTACAGACGTTGAGACTTTTATGGACGCTATTCTTCCCTAATAATTAAGTGCACTTTAAAATCAAACTATACTACGCAGATCTATCTACTACGCAGAGCATGTAGTGTCGTCCTACAAAATGTTTTAATAGCTGCCAAGTAAGTCTAAGATATCACATTTGTTTTATCCCCAGTTGCAAGAGCAGCTACAATTCAGTAGGTTTTAATGTCTGAGTAAACCTCATTTGTCAATGCAGATAAAATCTGATTCTGTGAATGATGTATGTAAAATGTTTGTGTATAGTGATGGGTTCATAGGAACATAAGTTTTGTTATGATTATTATTTAGCTGATAGCTTGCATTTTGTGTTTGGTTATCTGGATGTTAAGAAATCCCCAAATACCTTTATTCTCTTTAGTAACTCCCTAGTCTTTTTGGGTAATAATTAAAAGTGTATTACCAGATCTCTATAACAGCTTTCTTTGGTTGGATAACTGAATAGATGTTGAGTATTTATTTTTACTAGCATCAAAGCATAATTTTTTTTAGAAAATCATAAAAGGAAACCTTAAACACATTTATGATTTAACTCCTTAAAATGAAATAATGTTTCTTCTTAACTATATGTGAATAAGTTACTGCTTAAATGCATAAAACTGATTTCTAGCCAAGTATATACTATATTGTGTAGTATACTGGGTTTTTTTTTTTTTTTTTATCTATTTGTAAAATGAAATAATTACAATTTACTTTTATGTCTAGCCTAGAATATTTAGGCAGTTAATTTAGAACATGCCACATTCCTGTTAATATTCTCCAAGAACATACCCATAGTTAAAGTGGATTTAGTGATCATTGTAATGAAGAAGGTCACACAGTAAGAGGGTCAAAAGCCAATATCATCTTCAGAAATAATGATAAAGGACTTTGGAGACAGAGAATGTCTTCAGTAAGGATACCTGCTGTGAACCATTTAAAGGAAATATTGTATATGTATTAGATTGCCTGCTACATGCCAGGAAACACATCTAAAAGCAATGCTGCTAGGTGTTGTGAAGTTGATTCCAATGCATAGCAACCCTGTGTACAACAGAATGAAACACTTTCCATCTTCACAAATGTTATACTTGTGTTCATTATTGCTGCCACAGCATGACATCATTGGCACTCTTGTAAGTGGACCCTGCACTGGAGTCCTGATGTGGCGCTGTAGGATAGCTGCAAGGTCTTTGGTTCAAAACCCTATACAGGGTTGCTATTGAGTTGGAATTGGCTTGAGGGTACTTAAAAAGAACAGCTCCTCTTTACAAAGCAAGATGTCCTCCTTTAAGAACTGGTCATTCCTGACTTCATGCCCAAAGTACAGGAGACAAAGCCTCACAGCATGACATCTAAGGAGCAGTCCACTCATACTTCTTCCAAAACAGATATGTTCTTCTGGCAGCTCATGGTACTTTTCATTATTCCTTCATCAACACCACTATTAAACACATCAGCCTTCTCCTGTCTTCCTTATTCATTGACCAGCTTTCCCATGTGACTGAAAATACCATGGCTTGGTTTGGGTGCACCTTAGTTCTCAAAGACATCTTTGCTCTTTTAATACTTTAAAGATGCACTGGTGGTGGTGACGTGCCGTGGAGTCGGTTCCAACTCAAAGCTACTCTGTACAGGATTTCTGAGGCTGTAAATATTTACGGGAGCAAAATGCCTCATCTTTCTCCCACAGAACAGCTGGTAGTTTCAAACTGCTGTGGTTCACAGCCTGATTCGTAACCACTACGCTACCAGAGATCCTTTGATTTCTTGACTATTGTTTCTATAGATCTTTGACAACTTTGTTTATCTTGATGTTATTTATTAGTCCAGCTGAGAGTATATTCATTTTTACATTGATGATACCAAAGGCTGTCATCATCATCAGTGAGTATTTCAAGTTGTCTTCACTATCACCAGAAAAATTTTTCTGGTATTCTCTGCTTTCAGTCAAGGTCCATCAGATGTCAACAATGATGTTCCTCATTCCACATTTTTTTTTTTTTTTTTTTTTTTTTTTTTTATTTCAAATGCTCATAAATATTTATTAATCATTACTGCTATAGAATAAATTAAAGATGGGGTTGACAGAATGAGAGGGATCGCTCCAGGACTTAATGGTACTGGGGAAATGTTGGAAGATGCCCACAAAGGTACCCTGTGTGTTTAAGTGCAGAAAAAAGGTCTGGAATTAAACACCCAAAACTTCTCTCTGTAGTCACATCTGGTGTGGAAGGGGAGGCAGTGCTATACTGTGCAAACTCTAGCTAATAATACTTGTTATCTGTGGAAAGTGCATAGACACCCAGACAGAACTATGCATTAGCTCTATGTCTTGTTCATCAATGAAACTCTATATCTAATCAAGTGCTTGCTACACAGCAAGGAAACTTAATGTTGAACTTGTAACTGCTGTGAGCTTTCTTTTACTTGTATTACATCTGATGACCTGGAGTAGACAACCCCACCTAATGACACACTAGATAGGCTGATATTCTTGAAAGGTCACCAGGTTCTACTCCTCTCCATACAGAGTTAGTCGTCTTCATTGGGCTCACTGAGCTCTTCATGTACTACATGAGACTTTCTGTCACACAGCCTGTGAGACCAGATGTTAGTCTCCTTTTTCATGGGTTCTGGTATCTGTTGATTATATTGAATAAGGGTGTTGGCTGTTCCTTAGGCTGTTCTGCACCAGACGTTTTCTTCAAGCCTGCTGTCCCTGGCATTGCTTTTGGATCATTTTCGTTCTGTGATCTTCTTGGACTTCATCTTTTCAATGAGAGGGTCCCATATAAACTTCGGGAGTTTGCTCAGTTGCGCACTGGAAGCCATCTGAGGCGGTTCTTCCTGGTTCTTTTCGTCATCAGCGTTATCCATCTTGGGGATCCGTATATTAGTATTCATGAACGATGGGGTGGAAGTATTGAGATCTAGATTAACCATAGCATCAAAGCTTCTCTTCATGTATACACTTTCTCAAAGTCTCCCATCTCCTCCCAGTCTTTTTTAGAGAAGTATCTGGCAATATCCTTGAAAGCCGTGCTCTTCCTATCAGATTTCTGGGTATCATAGTTGGAGGTTTCAGCAGAAGCCGTTCCAATGTTCGTGATACTGGTGGCCAAGGGATACAGTACGAATCACTGGCACAACACCAACACTTCTTACCACCTTTGGAGTAGAAGTGAAGCATCGAAGATTTCACATTTTCTTATGAATCCAGCTTGACCTTCTGCCAGCACCCTATTAATATAATGCTGCAACTGTTTTAGAATTATCCTCAACAACATTTGACTTCCAGATGATATAAAAATGTTGTTCAATGACTTCTTCGTTCCATTTGATCACCTTTGTTGTTATTAAGTACTGTCAAGTCGGTTCCAACTCATAGTGACCCTGTATTGGGTTTCTGAGTAGCAGCAAGTGAGTCTGAGGACTAACCTTGTGCTTATTCTACTGTGCCACTTTTGAATGGGCACAAATATGGATTTCTTCCAATTGGTTGACCAGATAACTGTCTTAAAAATTTCTTGGCATAGACAAGTGAGTATCTTCAGTGCTGTATCAGTTTGTTGAAACATTTCAATTTATACTCCCAATTCCTGATGGCTTGTGTTTTGCCAGTGCTCCAGTGCAGCTTGTAGTTGGTCAATACCATCATTTCTTGATCCTATAGAAGCTCTGAAAATGTTTAAATATTTACCAATACTTTTTGATACAGTGATTACATCATTCAGTATTTTCTCCATGTTGCTGTTAAGTGCTGTCAGGTCGGTTCTGACTCATATCAACTTTATGTAAAACAACTGCTTATCCCGTGCCATCCTCACAACTGCTGTTTTGGAACTCATTGTTGCTGCCACTGTTTCAGTGCATCTTGCTTTGGGGTGAGATGAGGGGCTCTTTCATTTTTTCAATGACTCTCCACTTTAACAAGCCTTTATAAGGGAACCTTTTTAAGGGAATGCTTTTTCCTGATAGCATGGCTAAAATACATGAGATGAAGTTTCACCATCTCTACTTGTAAGTAGCTTTCTGGCTGTCTTTCTTCCAAGACAAATTTGTTTGTTATTTGTCAATTCACGATAGTTTCAAAATTATCCTGCACCACAACTCAAAATGCATAAATTCTTCTCTAGTCTCCCTTATTTATTGACCAGGATTCACTTGCATGTGAAGCTATTGAATATACCATGAACTGGGTCAAGAACACCTTAGTCCTCAAAGTGACATCTTTGCTCTAACATTTTTAGGATATTCTTTGCAAATTACCTAATGCAGTACATCTTTTGATTTCTTGACTGGTGCTTCCATGAAAACTGATTGTGAATCCCAATAAAATGAAATCTTTGACAACTTCAGTCTTTATCATGATCATGTTTTGGTCCAGTTATGAAAATTTTTGTTTTCTTTACATTGAGTTGTAATCCATACTGAAGACTTCATTATTTGATTTTCATGAACAAGTACTTCAAGGCCTCTTAACTTTCAGCTAGAAGGTGTGTCATCTGCATATCACAAATTGTTAATGAGCCCTCCTCCGGTCTTCATGCTGCGTTTTTCATATAGTCCAGCTTCTTGATTATTTTAGATTATTTGATCAGATTTTGCCCATAGAATCCTTTGCTACTGCACATGAGGCTTGAATTTTTTATTCAGCTCTTTCAACTTGAGAAATGCTGTTCTTCCCCTTTGGTTTTCTGACTCCAAGTCTTTGAACATTTCATTATATTGCTTTACTTTGTCTTCTCTAGTTGTCCTTAGAAATTTTCTGTTCAGCTCCTTTGCTGCATCATTTCAAGAGCAAATTTCAAAGAGTTTCTTCTGACATTTACTTTGCTCTTTATTTCCTGTCTTTAATGACCTTTTTGCTTTATTCATGTATGATGTTCTTTATGTCATTGCACA